GATCTTAGACTTCTGTGCACTTAACTGCGCCATCCTTGGTCTCCTGATGCAGGCTTCGATACTTAAAAACGGTGTCCATTATACGCAGTCCGATGTTTGCACAAAACTGCAACAACTTCATGTCGTTACTGTTGAGGTATTTGCAGCCTTTTTTCCAATCACGCTTTTCCACTTCAGACGTTGGCAATGAAATCCCCCATTATAATGACCTATTCCATTGTAGGTACTTCATACAGAGCACCTTCTACTTCATCCAGTAGAAATATTCTTAGAAATTGGGCTCATAGACCTGCAATAAGGTCAAAGCTTTAGCCTGTTGTAGCCTCAGTCAGATGATTGATAGTCTTGCTGACAGGTTTTCGTTCAGTGATTATGTCAACCACACTGATTCCTGCCAGAACATCAACATTGGCCTGATTGCCCGTTGTACCACTAATACCTGAGTAGAATAGTTTCCACCCGTAGAGGTCCAGAGTTCGAAAGCATTGGCGCTTCGTTGACAGAGTTCAAATGTATTAATTTGGTTTCTTTGGCCTTGTCAACTAGCTGCTGGTATTTCCCTCTGAGAGAAGATTGTTTCAATTTCCGATTGTAAGATTCCATTGGCAGCATGTTACTCGTGGATCCTTATGCTGTAATGGCATGGCACCACCTGTCTCATCCGTAGCGGCTCGGTATCTGAGAAATGGTAGCAATGCAGTTGCTCACCTGTACCTTTGCCCTCTTTTTGTAGATCTTCGGCAAACATTGTCGTGCTAGTACCCTGTCCCCTTTCCACCCCTAGCAGTCAGATAGCGAGATGCTGGTTCTGATCTCCTACTGTCCACCACCTGTCTTATTTTGCCAAAAAATTTGTGCGGCATTTGAAAACAGTCGAGCCTGTGCAATACCATGAGATGCAGGTGGCTACGTTTTACTCACGATGTTGCCTTTTTTGTCATTTAGACATGAAAGCGGAATTTTATATATAATGCCTTATTTTTGCATGTATATTTTATTACAATTAAAGCCAGACTCTGTGGTGATTGTTTTAGACCAATGAAACTCATTTTCTTATTTTGTTTTTACTGACTGCTGAACGAGTAATAAATAACGGTATGTTTTAGTGATCGGAATGCTACATGAAGGTGACGCTGCATTCAATGATGTTTCGTTTGGTTCAGCTGACAGTATATGACACTGACAGCGATTGATTGCGCATTGCAGCGAGTTTATTTAAGGCTGGGTATCTCCGCTAGTCATTGGTTTGTGTGTGTTATTTAGATTTTGTAAGCCTGGTTGGTAATTTATGCATTAAATGTCGCTGTAAAGTTAAGCTTCCTTTCTGTGCGCTATTATTCCTTTACACAATGTTGCGCAATTTCTATGCTTCTGGAAACCTGGGGGGAGTATTTAATCATTAAGCAATAACCACGGTGTTTTTATCTACATCATAAGCATGTGCCTTTACTCACCTTTTGTAACTGCTGAAAAATGACTGCCTAGGCTTCTTTGCTATGATCATTACCTAGCTGTTTGCTGCTTGGACAGAGCCGCAGGTTTAGGGCATCCGATGTATCCTACATTCCAACACTTACATTACAGTAATGGCAGCAGTTACAGTTTCTTTGCAGGAACATTTCCTGTCCAAATGCGTGCCTGCGTCTGTTTTGTTCATCTGTGCTACATGCTGCAGATACTCGGTTCGACTTCGACCATATCTTACTCCTCATATGAGACCTCCGTTTATGGCCAGTCTCCTGTTTCTGGTCTAATTCTTCTGAGGGTGCCTCTTTGAAAAAATATAAGGCCGTTCATTCATTATTTGCGTCGAAGCCTTTTGAGGCAGAGAGTGACGAACGCAATGTCGTAAAGTCGCGTAAACCGATTGAACATTGATAATTTGATGACAATAAACTACTTTTAAGAAAACTGATAAATCTACCCGATGTTTGCAGATAAACTAAATTTGCATGCCAAGCTTTCTTTTCTCTTTTCTGCACTGAGATTATGTGCATGCTTCCTAGACAGATCAT